CATTAACAAAAAGTTTCAAATAAATAAAAATTAATAGTATTAAAATCAAAATAATATATTATTAATCTATTAACAGTATTAAAAATTAATCATTTTAAATAAACTTAATAATATTAACAGTATATAGTATATATATACTGTTAAAAGGAAGTGTAAAGGGGTGCTGAGCTTGTTGACTGAGAAAAGAGAAAGCGGCAGCGGCGAGCGGCGATAGCGGCGAGCAGCGGGAGCGGGAGCGACGAGAGGCGCGAGCGGCGACAGCGTTTGCAAGCAGCGACAGCGGCGAGCAGCGACGGCGGGAGCAGGAGCGGCAAGCAGCAGGAGGCGCGAGCGGCGACAGCGACAGCGACAGCATTTGCGAGCAGCGACAGCGGCAGCGTTTGCGAGCAACGACAACGGCAAGCAGCGGGATCGGGATCGGGAGCGAGGGTTAGGGTTCGGTTATCACTTATATCAGTTTTAGTTGGTTCAATTGAATCAACTAACCATCATAGACCGAACCAGGACCAAACCGGACCCAAAATTCTGGTTCGGTTGCCTTGGTTAACCCAGGCGCTGGGCGCTTCGGGCGAGCGCCCAGGCAGCGCCTGTTTGAAGTGCGCCGCCTGTGAGATTAGCGAGGCGCTCGGGCCTTGCCTCACCTCGCCCGAGCGCCTAGGCGAGCGCCTTTCAAAATCGCTGTTGCATACCTTATATTCCTACAGAGAAACAACTAACAAATGTTCGTACCAAAGGACTTCAAAGGTCTTTATACGAGCATCTAAGAGATTCTGAATCCCATAATTAAGAGAATATATCACCTATTTTGGGTCACTCAATCAGTCTTAAATCAGCCCATATTATAGGAAATGAATTAGAATAAAATATTGTATAGAATCAATTTCCTTAGTTGTACAAGTTGTAATCAGCCTATATAAATCATCCTTTATATATAGAAAAAATTAATGAATGAGAAAAATTATATTCTCTTGTATTCACCAATGAACATGACTTTTTTTAGGTATTTGAGTATAAATGCCCCTGCAAGCTTGGTTGCAAACATATAAAAAAATGAGAAAGAAGAAAGGAGAAAAAGATAAAAACATTGATTGCCCTTATCTCAGTCATTGCTGAATCAACTAAATTGAGAAGCCTAAGATTTCTGTGGTTGTTGAACAAAATCAAACAATCTAGTTCTCCAGGAGCTTTTTTATTAGAAAAGAAGACAAATTTCCTTATTAGGCAACATAAGTAGTTTCAATGATGTACCTCAATATTCCAACTTCTTATAAGCTCAATTGACAAGCCTCAACTTCTTCCATGACATACATAGGTATATTACTACTGAGTGCAATATCTTCAAAATCATACTGATCAAAAGCATTATAAAGCACGTCCTGACAATATCTGCATACCTCAAATCTACAGCAAACTTTGACAACCATATTCAACTCCAAGGTTTCAAATATTGCAATTTACTGATCATAATGCACCAATTCAATCGTGTAAAGGTAATGCTGGTGTACCAAATATATTGGTTACACTAACATATCAATAAATTTTTAAAAATATTTTTTATTGGTGTACCAAGGAATTCTATATCATACCATAGGTAGATATTAGTCTAATAAAATATCAATGCATGTAGAGGTGTTCAAAATTTTAAAATATTTAGAACTAGCTCTGACTCCTTAATAATTTTCCATGGGAAATAACTCATATTTTAGGGCATCACTCAGGCCAATTTGCGTTTAGGGCTTCAATTAGCATGATTTTGGATGAAATTTTCCTTTTGAATGATATCCTAAACAAGCAAGTTAATCATTATTTCTATTTAAGGTAAGGATTAACAATTTCAATATATTCTCAACCTAACATCAATTAGTTAAAATGACAAGTTTGATATGGGACCATGCTTTTTTTTCCTCCTCTGTATGTCGCAAACTTGTCCTACATGGAATTCCCAAGCAAAAGTATTATTATGGCAAGGCAAAGGCTTGAGCCTTGAAAGTCGTGAATTAGATCATTAAGAAAACAGCCCACCTCAATTTGACAACACTATATAAGCTCCTAATCTTGTGTTTAGTTCCACAAAAGTACTCCTAATATGAGTTGGACCGGACCATCCAAAACGAGGTGGTGTGTGGCATGCACCCGCAGACCGCCATGTACCATCTGCTATATACCACTTTAGGTGGTACGACGATCATTGGCTTAATTCATATTGCCTCTCAAGATGAGAGATTTTCATTTATCTAAATCCTATTTTCAAAAAAATATTTAACTGATTGTACATAATCAAAAAAGGGAAGAAATTAGAACAAAATAGGGTCCTTTATAGATTTTTTAGAATGTTTAATTGATTATAATAAAATTCGGTACATACTAATGTCCTGTCTAATTTGATTGTATATAACAAGTAAAGGAAATAAATTAGAATAAAATAGGATCACGATGGAAATCAGGCTACATTTCGAAGATGTGGAAAGAAAAAGGTCCGACCCTTTGGACTGATGATGAACTCAGGTTCAGGTTCAATTGACATTTTAGGGTAGCCATGTGTTAACATCCTGCACATTTAATATCAATTAATATCTTCTTTTTTAGATTGACAATAAAGTAGAATAAGGAAAGAAATAAGAGAGAATATTGCAAGAATCAACAGCTTGCAATAAAGGAAGAGCATCATGCACAAAGAAGGAAGACAATTCTACAGAATCATCTTGCAAGAAAGGAAGAACATCATGCATAAAGAAGGAGAATAGTTTACAAGAATATTTTTGGAATCTTATCTTCTCAAAAGATGACCAAATACAATGTATTGAATCATTTTGATGTATTTTATTCCTTATTTGTTAATTTTTTTCTTCTTGTATTTGTGGCTTATATAAAGAGGCCAAGCATTATAATGGGATCATCAGTCTTTTAGTGAAGAATAGTTTTATTCACTAATTGTGTGAGTAGTGCAAGACCACAGTTTTCTCCCCGATGTGAGCCGAAGGACTTGGAGTGAGCCCAAGATTATCCCCTACATTTCTCTCCTCTCCTAGTCTCAGCTAGCCTACAACGAAGACCCAAAAACTTATTTCTCAACATCAGAAGTCAATCAGAAGGGTGTCAAAGGGCTCCTCAATAATCTAGGTATGTGATTAAACTCCAACTTTGTTCTTTATTACTTATATTAATATTTCTACAATTCAGATTTCTTTTGCCTCCTCTCTCTCTCTCTCTCTGTTTTAACCCATTTTTTCATTTATATCCCACCCAACCATCTCTCTCTTCATATTAAGCATCCCCTTTAGGGTTGTCCTACATCAGATTATTAAAAAAAATTTGATAATATTTTATTTATTTTCCAAATTTTGGTATATGATGGTGTCCTGACACTCAGTACACCAGTGTCATGTCCACTCAGGATTAGTACAATGACAGTAACTGAGATGACAAACCTTGGATGAGTCTATATTTTTTATTTCAGATTAGCAAAAGTGCATCATCATAGAAGCATAATCTACTATGATTTGCATTATAGTAAAATAACAAAAATCTGACCAAAGAATAGATGTAGCACTTAACTTCAACATGTTACTAATATTTTATAGATTAGAAGGAAACATGATGGGCATTTGAAGGAACAATAATCTACCATCGAGTGTTTGAGCATCAACAACGATAAAGTTGATCTTTCCAACAGAAATTTGGTAGTTTCTTGCTCCAAATTCCTTCTCATAATGACTGATCACCTGTTAGCAGGAAAACCTCACAATATTTAACAGTCTAGTCAAGTGAATCATTAGATGTAGCATATAACATTTAAAGAAAGAGAAAAAATGCTGTTGATTATGATTCAAGGGTTACTTCAGAATTAAATTGTGTTATTGACTACAAATTAGTTAAACAGACAGAGCTGCTTTTATCAAATCACAAATCAAGCACCCAAATCTTAATATATAGTCAATGTACAAAAACTATGTCATAATGTTTCAAATTAAAAGACAAAATCTGCACATCTAAAGTGCACATAAGACACACGGCCAAGAAACATAAAGATGACAAAAACAAGGACAAAGCATTTATCTTGTCATTCTTATTGAGGTTTTGAAAAGTACAGGAGATCAAAAAATAGTCTGGCTTGCTAGTTTATTTAATAAAATTTTAAGATTTAGGAGAATGTCTGATAAATGAAGAGAGATATGTAGAACTATTACAAATGAAGAGCTTTTCATAAAAATAAGAGAGAGATGTAGAACTATTCTAATTACATAGGGATTAATATTATAGATCACAGTATAAAATTTTGTAAAAGAGTACTTAAAAGTCGAATAAGATATAAAACAAATATCGCTGAAAATCAATTTGATTTTATGATTTGAAGATCTACAATAGAAGCCTTTTTATTAAGACAATTAATACAAAAATAAAGAGAGAAGAATAAAGATATGCACGTCTTTTATTGGTTTTGACAAGACATGTAAAGTTCCTATAGGTTTGTTTTGATGAGTTTTAGAAAATAAAAGTGTATCCACTAAATGTATTGATGTTATAAAATATATATATGATATTATACTAATGCTAGAACTATAAAAGGTATTAATATTGAGTTTTATGTTAGTATAGGACTGCTTCGGGATCCGCATTAAATCGTTACCATCTTATATTGGTGATGGACAAACTTATTTATCATATATTGGACAGATCTGCATTAAATCACTACCATCTGATATTAATTTAGTTGACAATAGTTTAAATAAAATTAAGTGTATACTTGAGTTATAGGGATAGATGTTGGAAACTAAAGGTTTTAAATTAATAGGACTAACACTAAATATATGAGATAATCTTAGCAATACTAGGAGTAAACAGAAGGATATACTTAAGCTGGATAGAAAAGAAGTCATAATAAGTAACAAATTTTAGGTATCTCAGATTCATTAGTCAATGAGACGAAGAGATTGATCTAAACTAACAACTAATTAGTTATAGTGAAGGAGGATGTTATTGATCTATCATGAACCTTTCAAGACCTCTGCTTCAGTCGAGAATTGAGTTGGATGTTCAAGTGATGTTTAGCCACATCAGGATCGATACCCAACATGTTCTTCAAAGACCATATAAAGACCTAGGTGTTGGTCCTCAAAAAATTGATGAGTTCCAACCTCTTTGCATCAAGTAATGCTGCTCTAATTTTGATGGTGTGGTCTGATCGGTTTCTACTAAGGGGGACTTCAATGAGTGTATTAATCGCCTTGGGATGTGGAGATGGCTTTGAGGCTTCAAAGCCTTCCTAAAGATCCATTGGGGATGGCATCTTCCTAAGGAGAGAGATCACAATTAGGTAATATTGGCGAGACTTCCCTCAAATTGCTCCTAAGCTTCCCAACTGCTGATCAGGAATTTTAAGTCAATATCACTACTCGAAGCCTATTCAATAATGGCATCATAAGCTGATAGGATATTGACCACCATGAATTTTGTTGCCATTGTTTTCGACCAAGGACTCGATCTAAACATCACGTGCAAGTTGATGATCCCAAGAGGTGAGATTGAGTCACCACGAACCCTGTTAGTGATGAGGACATTGGGATGAGTGGTCGAACTAATCTTCTGAAAGGCATCAAGATAGAGTATGTCAGCAAAGTACTTGTATCAAGCATAGCACTCTTCACAAAGGCATTTATCATTCTAATAGAGATGATGAGGGCGTTGTTGTGGTTGAGGTTGAGGTGCTCTGCCTCTTTTTCCTTGAAGGTGATTTCTTGATCTCCCTCGAGCCACTGACGCTTCTCAGTAGTGGCTCTGATGTAGGATTTGCCAAGGCACTATCTCCCTCGATGTCAAACAATCAATGATGACATCCATCTATCTTTTAACTAAACCCTCCTAGTGTGGAGATGGTTCATGTGTTTACATATGAAATGCCTAAGGTGCCCTCAACAGATGAATTCAGTCTCAAGCATCATTGACACAAAAAATGCAATAAGACTCATTTATAAAATGCAATAAGACACAAAAAATGCAATAAGACTCATTCATAAATTGTGCATCGAGACTTTTACAAGTTTACAAAGATAAAGTAGTCCCAATGCTAAAAACAAAAAGAAAAAACAATACAAGGCTTATTAGCTAGCGGGGACAGCTAACTCTGGTTCTAACTTGGAATTATCGACCACCACCACAATTACGAGGTCTTATTCAACACCCAAGATCAGCTCGATAGGAGCCTCCCCGACTTGTCCCATCTAGGCCGCTATGCTAAACTCCCCTAGCTTAGCAAACTCTTTTGACAACCCTTTCTACCTTCTTGCCCTCCTCAACAATGCCGCCTTTGGGAGGTGCAATCATTGAAGCAATCCACATTTTGATGAGGTCTTTGAAATGATCACTAGGGTGTTCAAGGCATTTGGATGAGCTCTCTGAGACATTAGTCATAGGGGTGTTCAGTGACTACAATCCTAGGGTGGTCGGCTAGGACTCGAGCAATTGCTAGACGTCAGACGATAGCCATACTAAAAAGAGTTATAACCATGTCAGATACTCCTTTCTGTAACCCAATCGACTCTCGATACTTGGTAGCTCCCTTCAACTTATGTTGTAGTCAGAGGAACTCCTTTAGCCAACGTTGGTCAACTCTTCGACCCAAGGGGCAAGGTCGGCATTCTCAAGCTAGCATTAGTCAACTCTTTAATCAAATAGGCAAGGTCGACATTCGCAGACTAGTTATGAGGGCCTACTCAGTGACCCATCATATCTCTAATCACTTCCTCAAGCTACTACCTATTAGAGCCGAGCAATTGTTTTAGCTCCGAGAGCTCCACCTCCTCCACAATGTATGAGCCCTTTCTTCCTCTTCAAGCCAACTAAGACCAATGACGACTGAGCTCTTTTAAGCTCTAGTCAGCATGGCTAGTTTATTCTTAAGGTCCTCCCTAGGCCTAACGATTCGATTGGCCTAAGGCATTTAGTGGCCCAAAAATTATTGATCCTCTATCAAGGGCTCATTGCTTTTGCTTATTCTACATCAGGGTGACATGTTAGTCATGTGCTTTTGTCGACCCCTGATTGGCCGCCTCTAGCATGGTTGGGGCCTCGATCATCAGGTCAAAAGAGGGCCTCAGGTGGGAAGGTTCGAGAGCCTTCCTTTTTAAGAGCCTTGCTCCTCTCATCGACAATCTTGACTCTTGAGGAAGGAATGATGCGACAAAGTTCATGTCTGCAAAAGGATGGGAGTTAGGAATATACAAAAAAGACAACATAAAAAAGAAGGGAATTGAAATCCCGATACAAACCTTGAGGAGCAGGACTTGACTTAACTTTTTCACAAGCTAATGTTCACTCATCTCGGTTGCGCCGTTCGAGCTAATTAAGGCTTAGGCGATTTTGGTGAATTGTCCATTCCCAATCAGCTTAGGGGGAACATTGGCGAACTTTCAGGTGACCCGAGCTAAACAGAAAGACCACCCGCTCGTTAAAGAGGCATTGAAAAACCTTTCCTTTCGGCTCTTGTTAGAGCTTCAAGACCCGCAAACCTTACAACCACTTCGGGTTGAAAGGTAAAAGGTTGACAACTTGATGTAGACATTGTAATATGAATGCAATGGGTCAATATTGGGATAAAGTCAAGATTTATTTGAGACTACGACACTCTCAGAGAATGGTCGCAAGGTAACATCACGAGTTGAGTGCTACTTAAGCACTTCCATGCAAGAAAGACCTCAAAACATAAGGAATAAAGGGGTTACCTAAGCCTCAGCTCTAGTGCGTCAATGTACATGTAAAGATAGTGATTCGATGTATAGGACTAATAATAATCAACAAACCAAACTATAAGCGCAAACTTGATAGGAATGAAGAATCAAGACTTAAGGTGGTCAAGGTCTCAAGGATCAACTCTAGAGTCAAAGTCAAAGGAGTAAGTTATGGACTACAACACTCCTCTCGAACAAGCCATCCCAAAGAAGGAACATTCCCCAATATGGCGACTCTGACCTCTTCCCGAAAGGAAATGAAGTAGAAGGGGGCAAAGAGGGTGGATCGAACGATTGAACAACTTGCAGCCTGAGAGGTGTCTGATCCCAAAGATAAGGAAGAAGAGGTGGAAGACATCTTGGACCATCAAATGAGGGGTTCGAACAATTCGGCTCAAGGTATAGAATTCTAGATGTCCATAGTTCTCAGAATACAAGAATATATGGGTCTAGCATCTTTTGGTCCCTAATGCCTGACCCTTTGTTGTTAATTGGTTCAAATGATAAGTAGTATAGAAGTCCTTAATTGGCCATATAATATTGGGCATCTGGGTAATAAGTTTAAATCACCAAAAATCAAATCAAGCGAATCACACACCGAAAGCCAAGAAAATGATAAAAGTGATTAACGTGGTTAAATCTACACCCTAGCTAACGTGATCAAATCTAGTCATAAAGCATCCCTTTTATAATGCAGTCAATTACGACCACGAAGTGTCCAATATCTTCTAACATGATTGAATATGGCCATAAAGCATCTCGTATCTCTGACATAGTGGAATCTAACCATGAAGCATCTCATACCTTCCAACGTAGATAGATGTCATGAAGCGTATCTTTTGACACGATCGAATCCGACCATGAAGCATTCTTAACCTTTTAAGGTGGCTAAATCCAACCACGAAACATTAAATATCTTTTAAGTTCTAATAGTTGAATTCAATCATGAAGCTTCCCTCACTTCCAACAAGCCAAACTAGGCTAGGAAGCATCCACCATAAGTGACATGACATGATTAAATCATCCACCAAGGACAATGCCTCCCAACACCATCCATTAGATAATAAAAAGAATATGACACATGGACATCTGAACACCATGTGAATGTCACTGATAGCTCGACACCTACTCAAGTGCCTCATTAGTCCAACACATCAAGCAAGTACCTTATGTGGTCAACATATATGCGACAGTTACATGTCAATTCCATGTGAATTGGCATTATATGATCGGCATGATACGCAAGATACACTGCAATGCTACCCTTCACATTCGGGTAAGACTTGGCTATTCCATGTCAATGATTCCATGAGTTACCTCCCATTTACTCTTGGTGGTTACCAAAGCTTCCTTTAAAAGGCCCTAGGTATACTACTTTACCAAAGAGAGAATACATTCAACTCTCCAAACTCTCATAATCACTATTAATGTATTACTTTCTTGACATTAACTTAAGTTTTAAAGGAGCTTTTGTTGGGCATACACTCGACCCAGTTTTTGCAAGGCCCTTATCTAATCTAGTCATCTCCAGAGATCATGTTGTGACAAGTTCTAACAAGAACTTGGCTCCATGTCCCAACAACTCGAACAAACAAAAAATAAAGAACACTAGTCCAATATCAATTCAATAATTTTAATTATCTACTAGACCGATAGAGAACTAGTTTATATGAGTGATATCGACTTATACCATTTGGAATAATGAAATAAAATAATGAAAATAAATGGCATTGTACTAGGTTTGGTTGTACTAGTAATTGCCCAAGAGTATTTGAAGTCGTAAGGAACAAGCTTATAACAAATTACAACCAGCATGTTTTCTTCAAAAAACACTAGCATGCCTTGCTATCAATTCTCTATGATAGAAGTTTGGGATCTTAATAACTACATTTAAAAGAAAACATGGAAAGATGAAAACATCTAGTTGTTTGATGTTGCTCTTTATTCCTTCTTTATCCTTCATTTTATTTTCTTTATTTTGATACTTCTCTTTAGTTATTGATATTTTATACCACTCTCAAGGCACTTCCTTTCCAATTTGCTTTGTTTCTTAGATTTGCCACCATTTATTTAGTTCTTTGAATAAACTAAATATAAAACTGGGAATGGCAATCCATCCATCGACAAATAAAACCAAACAAGTGTTAACAAGTTTGCTACCTTTGGATACTGTGAATGGAAACCTGCATAGCCAATATCATGATTTCCAGAGAGGTAATAAATAGGGATGGCCAAATCTCTGCCCTTTTCATTCAGACTGAAAATGTGTTTAAATCGGTTCAGTGACTCTTGCCACCTGTTACAATGAAGAATATTACCAAAATGGAAGTTGAGGATATAAGAACAATCAAATACTGAAAGCAACTCATATTAGCAGTTGTGGCATTAATTGATGAGATTATCATGTGAAACAGAATCTTCCACAGTAAGATGTGATGAAGCATCAATTTCCGTATAATATCAATTATTGCTTAAAATGATAAATACATTATCCTCCTACAGTACATTTCAAAAAAAATTATTATGTTAACTTAATATTGATCATCATTCACCATGAGTTTTTAAGGGTCAAACAATGTTATGGCAAAATGGTTATTGCACAGACTCAAATCAACATGTCAGATTGTGTTTACAAAGTAGCCTAATCCACTTGAAATCCAGAAGCAAGTGTGTAACATATGAATTCCTTTAGTTTTCTGGTTTAGCTCATATTAGCAAATAACTAGCAAGAAACTAAGGTTTTATTAAGAAACCAAAGGATTATCTACTAAATGGCCAACAAAATAGAATTTTCCATAAAAACCCAGTTTAATGAATAGCTTATGGCCCTATGAAACTCCATCTAACTTGCTTGACTAGGACCAGAACACATTGATTAGGAGCAGAAACTGTTCAGCAGTTTCAACAATTAACGCCTTTCCACAGTTCCTAAGGGATACAGTCAGTGGCATATTTGTTGGTTAGCCAAAGCTTTGTCATGGTATCTCAAAGTTAGCATCAACCCTCATTTACTGACGATAAATTTTCAGTAACAACAATGGAGACTTACCAAGAGCTCATTGCTAAATAGTGAATCCTCCTCAAACGGTTAAGCAACCAAGGGCCTGTATAAGATCATCTTTGAAAACTTATCAACTGTGCAGCATCAACACTTCAAATGCTTTTGCCATGTTCGTGTCAAACACTGAAAAGTGTTGATCACATAACACAAGATGGATATCAATTGATATTATGCAAATCATTACATTAATATGGTTTTATTTTAGGGCACTTGACATCTACAATGGGCTTCTTGACATTTTAATATCAAAATACGTATGTATATTTCACTTTTTTTAGATACTATGTTTAATTCATTATTTTTGTGAATAATTATTCATATAGTTCTTATGAATTACGCATATGATTATAAAAATTACCTAAATTGAACAAAATATATCTTCATATATATACTTTAGATGAACACATTACCTAAATTGTATCCATGCCAAGTGTCCTACTTTCCAAAGATTAGTCAAGTTTGGCATGTACAAATAGCTTCACAGTCACTCAACCAATTTATTCATCTACTGAGAGCAGCCAATAAGCTTCGAGAACAAGATTTTTGTGTGTACACAAATGCAACATTTCTTTTATGAGTTGAACAATAGAGAACATTCTCATTGACTGCTACCTATCTTTGATCCTCTGCCAACTCCCTATCAATAAATCAGCCAACTCTGGTTGAGTCTAATTTGTTCTTCCCTATTTGGCCAATTTGACTGTCTTAGAAGTCTCTAAAATATTCTTAGCCTTGGATAATACCAATACGAATCGAACTATCATATTGAAATCAAACGATGTTTCAGATTTCTTCATGATGTCCATCACCAACATTCTCCTTAAAATACTGACTTAAGTGTTGTCCAATTCAATATTCTAGCTATTTATAACAACAATATGGATTTGGTATTAATTGTTCTAGAGTAGCAGTCTCAAAACAATATGACATGAAGAAGATATGAACAGTACAAGAGGTGGGTAAAGGAGGATGTGGAAGTAAGAAAAGATGAATAGAATAGATACCCAAAATAATTCCAAAGGCTTTAAATCAGTTGAACTGATTAAAAAGTTTATCACCATATTATGCTTCTCTAGGAGTGGGTTAGATCTAATAATTGGCTTACAGAATTTTATTATGTAAAGAAAGCAAATGTCTTTCGCAAAAGTCAATAATACAAAAAATGCAATCAAAAGAATCTTGGAGTACAAAGATAAATTAAAAGCTAAAAGTGAGAATTAATATGAATGTCTTACTCCTCATCCGACAAGAAAGGCCCACCATCAAACTGATCACCAAGAAATACAATCAAATCAGGTTTGAATGGCAATATGGATGAACGGAAAGATCTCCTCATGTATAAATCTGTATAAAATTGGGCAGCCTCTAACAAAAGTGATTTTGGAGGAAGTCCATGTGAGGTCCTGTCCATAAGCTGTTATGAAGAATAAATTTAGAATAAAAAGAATTGCATGCAATATCATTACGTTTTCAATGGATGGCAACACGTAGGTGAAAAGATGTAATCTTGAGCACAGCATTAATTCAGTGAGTCTGCTTTTCATAAACTAGGTGATCTAATGTGCTGTTCTACAGGTAAATTAAGGTATATGCATTCACGGTAGAGGCACAGGCAAAAAGGAAAACTAGAATAATCATTAAAATTTTAGTTTGAAAGATGCTATTTCTTTTCAAAGCCTGATCTGGAATGCTGATTATATAATATCTCAATGTTTACATATGACTTAAAGAAGCAATTAATGTTTTGTTTCTCAACTTTCTCTGTTTCTAAAATGCCCATGCATCATCCATAGAGGAACTTTCATCCATGTGGAAAGAGATAGTTGTCAGATTCTTGTAGTTCCAGGGACAAATAATCTTTATTAGCTTTTTTCCTTTTTGGATCATAAGTATGTGGAAGGAGATAAATATTATGTTCTAGCAAGTCCAGGGACAGATGATCTTTATTAGTTTGTCGTTGCACCAGGCCACCAGCAGCTTCAACGTATAAATTGATTAGATCATATGAAGCTTACTTAGATAAATGGGCATACCTAATCTCTTTACTCATGTTACTTCAACAAATATTAATGCTTAGATGCATATGAAAGCATTATACACTCATCATTTGATCAAAACTTTTCCTTGCAACAAAAACGAGAAAAATAAATTGTTATCTAATTCCAAAACTCAAGAAAACTACTGAAATCATGAAAACTGCAAATTCAAATTTAGTATATTACTTTCAGATTATCTAACAGAAAACCCCCATTATCTCAACCTGGATTGATCCAATATGCAAAGAAATCCATTTTAGAGGAAGACGATAACAACAAAACAAAAAACAACAAAGTTTAAAAAGTTACATGCAAACTGCAACAAAACAATTACCTGTGGGTCCGCCAACACAGCAACCTTAACATAATGGTCAGTCTTCTGCACAAGGAAATGAACAATAAATATGTGTATCATCATGACAAGAATACATAAACAAGATGGATGAATTAATCATGCAGGACATACAAAGGAACAAAACAAGATGGCGATGAGGAAAGATAAGCAAAACAAAATGGTAACCAGGAAAGATCACTGACTTATCAACTTATGGATAATATGATAACCACAAAGACTTAAAAAGTATTTCCATATTACTATGCTAGAGAAAGCACAAAGCACCATCCGGTCTATTAAGATCAACTTGTGGATAACATGGTGACCCAAAAGTACCATTATACAAGTCAAAGTGCCTACGCTATCAAGTATCAACCATCCATTCTAATGAAAAATTGTCATTTAGACCAGCAATATGCTCAGCATCTTGCTTGCCCATGATCCTTCCCATCACCAATTGATTTACCAAATTATCTTTAAAGTAACGCCCTTTTTATTGTTTGTTAGTATCTGAGTGGTGCAGAGACCAATCTGTATGCAGAAAATTATCCAATTGAGTGTAGTAGACTAATTATTCATCTATATTCCTTTCAAATTTGACGATACATCCAAAAACAAATTTCAAGTTGATCGGAGCATGCAAGTAAACCACAAGATCAGCATAGGCGACACCGTAAACGTAGAAAACCCATATATCCTTGGATGGGTGAAGCATGTCACTTGGGCGAATTTAGAAATTCAATAATGGTAACAGATCATGAAAACCCAAGAAATCACCTTTTGCAACCGGATGAACTCCAAAACCAAGAATACGTGTATTCATCATCTCGTCAAAGATGTTCTTTCGATCTGAATGGCTCTCGAGATTCAAAATTGATTTTTCCCACAAGAAAATATCAAAATTGAAAACAGATCCAAGTGATCCAACAAAGAACTCTTGAAACCGAATGGATTTCAAGAACAACTAAACACGAATACATGTGGCCCGGCAAATAGTCCTGCTACAGAGCGAATCAACGACGAACTAAGAAAGAAAGATGGAGGAAAGAGTGAAGAAACACTAACGGAAAAGGAGGAAGAGAGGCGCGGCTGCGGCCAGGAACAGGTCCAGAAGGCGGCCCAGTAGGCGACCATCTCGCCATAGAGGAGGGTGACGGCCCAAAAGCCGCAGAGGAAGACGGTCAAAAGCGTGAAGCTGTGCATCGCGTCGCCTCAAGGAAGAAGAGAGGTGAACGCGCCTCCCGTACCAGACTTGTGCTCTGGGAGCTCGACCACGGGGGTAGGACTACTTGAACGGGGAATGCGTCCTGGTGCGATGTGCCCCGGGGCGCAGTGAAACAAGCAATTCTTTAGGCTGTTCTGGTCGTCCGATTCAGACCTGGTGCCGACTCACATTGTGGATCGCACGGTTAAACGGAACATTGATTATTTAAGATTTTTTTTCATATACAACACCTTGCTTAAATTAGATTAAAATAATATTACTTAAATTTTAATTTGACATCAGATTAATAATAATTAAAATTAAGATAAAATTGAATGATTAAAATGAAGAGAACCACCGATGCTTTTTAATCTTCATAAATCTGTATGTTGGATGATTAAAAATTATAGCTTTTCTTTTGTTAAGTTGATGTAGGACTTTTGATATGGATATGTGAAAATATAAAAAGGGTCAATTCTGGTTCCTTTTTCTTTTTCCGCAGATAATCCCTAGTTGTTTCTTCTCACAAAATGCTCCTTTTTTTTAACATATTAAAATTATATCCTTAAAAGTGGCACTACCCTTTTATAGAATTGGTTTGTCTTAGATGTGTTTAAAAAAACAAATTGTCTAATGTGAACTCTCTGCTTTGAAGCCTTGACTTTCTAGCTCTTTTATTTATTTTTACTTTGCGACCTTAGCAAGGACTTTCTCTCTTTTTTATTTTTCTTTGGGATATCCTCTTACAAAGATCTCGAGTTTAAGGTGCCCTTATAATAAACGCTTGAGAAAAGTAACACATTATCTTCGATAATAAAAAGTTAAATCGATCGAAATAGGAGAATCAGATATTAGACCAGAGTGGATCATGTTAGAGATTGGACATCGGATTGGAAGGATCGGGCATTGCGTCAAGATCGGATGTTGCGAAAGGTTAATATGCCGATGGAGTGGACAATATACCAAAGGAAAGCACCACATGCCGAGAGTTCAGACGAAGTGTTGGATGAACCAATGATATGTCACACAATATAGAATTTATGTTTGTATTCGTTTGTGTTTTGATCGAAGTAGTTTAAAAGTCTAATTGAGTTAGTTTTGGATGTAAATATATTAACTTAATTAGGGGCTCATTGGGTCTGAATCAGGACTAAATTGAGCGCCTATTGGAATGTCAATTCAATGACTTGAAGTTGGGTTAAATAGTGGCACCACCATACCAAGCGGCGGAACCACTTGTGAGCTAGAAAGTACATAGTGTATGTTTTCATAAAACCCATGGTGGTATTGCTAGAGTTAGGTGGTGGTATCGCCCAAAGTGATAGTGGTACTACCATAACATAGTCTTTTAGGTTGTGTGAAGTGATGGTATAGCTAGTGCTAAGTGTGGCAAGCGGTGGTACTATCTAGCATTAATGATAATATTGCCAGTATCCCGTAAACTCAGGATGAGCATTTTAGTTCTATTTTTGAAGCCATTTGGGGCCTATACATATCCCACTTATGTTTGCTTGAGACAACAAGAAAAAGAACGAAATACTTATGATTTTAAAGTGTTGTAGACTCTTGAAAAGTGTTAAGTCTCTTCCTCCTTAAGTTTAGAATTTTTTTTAAGGGAGTTGTGAGGATTACTTGTAAAAAAAAGTTGTAAGGGTTCTCTCCTGAGCTTATAAAAAGGAGAAAAGAGTTGTAATAAGGGTAATTGATCTTTATCCGTTGAAAAGAAGATCGTTAGTGAAAGTTGATGGCCTCAACGGATGAGGAATCGGGAGTGAACGTAGGTCACAACGACCGAACTACTATAAATTCAATGTGTATTTCCTTTTATGCTCTTCATTGCTATTGCTTACTAATTTAATTACTTACAACACTTACTCAGATTCTAAGTTAAATACATTTTTGATACCGATTTCATCGAATGAATTTTTAAATCGTTTCTTCATTTTAAAAGTAATAATTCACCCCCTCCCCCTCCCACCCTCCTCTTAGTACATTTATGATCATAACAGCTAGTATCAGAGTCAAGTTCTCTTAATTGGTTTAATACCCAAGAGAGATTATATGGCTTTCTCTAGCAATCAAGAGGGATCACTCTATCACTCGTCCTCCTATATTTAATGGGACAGACTATACGTATTAGAAGATATGAATGGGGACTTTTTTTTTATTTCTATGGATTTTGATTTATAGAATGTCATTGAATGTGATTTTCAAAAGTCCTCTAGACCAATAAATGAATGGAATGATCTAGAGAAGAAAATATTTTCTTTAAATGCTAAAGCTACGAATGCTTTGTTATGTGCTTTAGACAAGAATAAGTTTAATCGTATTTCTATATGTAAAACTACATATAATATTTGGTACACACTTGAAGTTACTCATGAAGGTACAAATAGAGTTAAAGAATCTAAAATTAATCTCTTGGTGTATAGTTATGAATTATTTAGAATAAAGCCAAGCAAAACCATTGATGATATATACACCTATTTTACGGATGTTGTCAATGGTTTAAAAGCTCTTGATAAATATTTTATAATCTTGAACTTGTTAACAAAATTCTAAGATCTCTTCTAAAAAGTTAGAATCCAAAGATAACTGCAATTCAAGAAGCAAAGAACTTGAACAATTTTTCTCTTGAAGAACTCATAGGATCATTAATAACCTATGAAATAACTTGCAAGGCACATGACGAACATGAGAACAACCTTCCAAAGAATAGAACGGATATTACACTTATTGAATCTTAGATTTTAATGATGAAATCAATTGGTAAATTATTTGATCAAATCTATATGTTGAGAAAAGTGTGTAGGATTACCTACGATTACAATCAAGGTATAAAGCAAATCGAAGTGTTAGAGTAAAGATCGAGATTTCGTTAGGAGTTCGAAAATTTGTCGGAAGTCCAAACGTTCATCGAAAGTTCTACCGAAATTAACTAAGAAGTATAAGAGCTTGCCAAAGAAGCTCATCGGAACTTGCCAAGAAGATCATCGTGAAGTCCAGGAGCTTGTTAGGAGTTTGTTAGAACATTGCCGAGAGATCGTCGGAAGTTCGTCGGAAGATCGTTGGAAGCTCACCGGAAGAAACTTAAACTAACCAGACTTGTTTTGCTTAGTGTATGCCTTAAGAATCATAGTTAGCACATAACTAGGGTTCGGTTTGGGAGATAATCTCACTAACTCAGTTAGGGGCCAACCGGGCCTGTAATTGGACTGGTTTGGGCCGGATTCAAGGCCCAACCAAGTTGCTGGACCCTATCTAGCGATGGCACTGCCAGACTAGGGCGGTGGAACCACCCAGGGAATGGTCTCCCAAGTGGTTTGGGCGATGGTACCGCCCAGGCTGAGCGATGGTACCGTCGACAGTTATTACTTGCCAAATGGTGGTACCGCCCTATTAGGCGGTGGTACCACCCTACCAGGCAGTGGTACCACCAGAGCTTAGTATCCGAGACTCTGTCAGGCGATAATACCACTAAGTGTCAAAGTGTCAAGCAGTGGTACTACCCAGTACTAGCGGTGGTACCGCTAGTACCCTAGAAATCCTAGATGAGACATTTTTTTGCTTCAATTTTGAAGTCATTGGAGCCTATAAATATCTCACCATTTTTTACATGAAAATGTAACAAAAGTGCAATCAAAGTATGAAAAAAAACTCTTAAGTATTGGGGTGTTAAAAGTATTGTAAAAGTGAGAAAAGTCCTCATCCTCCCTCTCTTTAGCTTTGTAATCATCCAAGAAGAGGTATGAGGCTTGTAAGGGTTATCCCCTAAACTCATAAAAAGGAGAAAGCACTATAAAGAGGTGGTTGGTCTCCGCCTATTGAAGGAAGACCATTATGTTAGGATCGGAGCGGCACTAAGAGGGGGGAGGGGGGGGGGGGGTGAATTAGTGTAGCGGATTAAAACGTAGTTTTGACAAATCTTTCGTACGATAGAAATCAAAATCGGAAGTGCTTAACTTGAAAGCGTATTCACAAAGTTGTGCAGCAAAGATAATGAGGAAATAAAGCAAGTAAGAAGGTTTGTAGTAATGTAAATAGCAGTAATGAAATGCAAACTAGAGATTACACCGATTTTAAAGTGGTTCGGTCAAATGACCTACATCCACTTGCGAGGCCCCTCTTCGATGAGGCTCCCACCTTCCACTAGCAAATCTCTTGAAAGGGAAGGGTAAATACCCCTCTTACAACTTTTTACAAGCGGTTCACTCTCTTACAGATTTTCAGCAAGAAAGAAGGAGGTGAACACTAGCAAATTGAAAACAAGACTAGCTAAGATTTTTCTAAGGCCTTTCTCTCAATCAATTGCTTCTCAAAAAGTTGTAATCTCAGCTGAGATTTGAGGGGTATTTATAGGCCTCAAGAGGATTCAAATTTGGGCTCTAAAATTTGAATCTTCTTTGGTTCCCGATGCTGGCGGTGCCACCGCCTGTCAGTTTCTGACACTGACAGTGGACTGGCGGTGCCACCGCCCAGCTCTCGGGTGCTGGGCGGTGCAACCGCCCAGTCTGGCGGTGCCACCGCCAGACCCTTCGGTTCATTGGTTGGGCTTCAAATTTAGCCCAAACCAAGTCTTATTTTGGGCCCAGTTGGCCCCTAACCAAGATATAGGATTATCTCTTAATCCTAATCCTAATTACAAGTGAACTACATAACTAAAAACATCCTAAGCAAGTTTTCAACCGCGAACGTCGAGTCTTGTTCCGGCGAGCTTTCCGACGAACTTCTTCCGACGGACTCCCAACAAGCTCCCGATCTTGTGATGACTTTAACGAGTAGCCAAGCCTTCTCGGTGATCTCCGTGAACCTCCGACGATCTCTTTGGCGAACTTCCGAAAATTCTGACAAGTTCCCGATTTCTTCTCGGTTGGTTCCGGCAGCATCTCCAACGATTCTTCGGACTCTTAAACGTCCATCGAACTTGACTCCGATATTCTTGCTTTGTGTTTTCTGGTTATCGTAGTTAATCCTGCACACTTAACTCAATAATATGGATTATATCAATTAACCCATCAATTGATTTTATCATCAAAATCCGAGATTCAACAATCTCCCCCTTTTTGATGATGACGGAGTTAAACATAACTCCCCCTATCTATGTGCCATATTATGAGA